GCTCTCCAGCCGTTTTCTCCTTCTCGCTACAGGGCGCTGCCAAAATGCTGTTAGAATCTGAGCAGCATCCTGGCCAGCTGAAGGACAACGTCTGCTCGCCCGGGGGGGCCACCATCCACGCCCTGCACTTCCTGGAGAGCGGTGGCTTTCGCTCGCTCCTGATCAATGCTGTGGAGGCTTCCTGCATCCGGACGAGGTGGGCACCCAGGAAGTCCTAAAGAGCCTGGAAAACTTGTCCCCCGCGCTCCCCGTCTCCTCTTGCTATGTCTTTCTCTCCCTCCGCCCCTTGCAGGGAGCTGCAGCACTTGGCAGACCAGGAGAAGATCTCCCCAGCAGCCATAAAGAAGACTTTGTTGGATAAGGTGAAGCTGGAGTCTCCCTCTCTCTCCATGGCATCTGCCGGCAAAGTCAGCCTGTTCAACAGCAAGAGCCCCAGCAGCAAGAACTGAGCAGGCCGCTGCATTCCGGCCGCACTCCGGTCTCCTCCACGCCCTTTCTCTCTGCCTCAGGAAAAGCGCTCACCCTGGATGTTGGTGTCCCCAAAGCTGGCTCTGGCCTTGCCGCAGCTGTGGGGCAGAGCAGTGCCGTACAAGGGGGTCTTTAGCCTGCAGAGGGGTCAGTGCAAAGGCCTTGGCACTGCGCTTCTGTGGGGCAGGGGCGACACCATCCTCAGAGCTTCGAGAGCATCGTTTGTCCAGGGGTCTTGGATGCTTCTCGGGCAGCATTTATGGTGTCCCGTGCAGAAACGGTTTCTCACGGCATTTTTAAGAGGTTTCAGAATGCTTTTTGATGTCAAACGTTTGAACCAGGCCTGGATCCCTCCTGCCCTGTCTTGCATCTGCGTCAGGGCTTGCCTGGCCTTGGTTGGCCGGAGCGGCGCTGCCGCAGACGCAGTACTGTGCCCTGCCTGAGAGGCTGCGCCCCGAAGCACCTCGCAGCGGGACCAAAGTGCCCCGACTCCCATCTGCCTTGACTTTTAGAGGCAGATGGTGGGACCCTCTGGACCACACTCCATTTCTCTCTTTGCTGGCCACCCCTCCTCTGCTCTGCTCTGCTCTGGGGAACCACCAACTGCTCTCGCTGTCCCTCCGCTGCCGGCCTTGCCTGGGCGGTTGGGCAAGCGGAGGGCTAGCGAATGCTCCCTTTTCCTTCTGTTTTGGACACCCCTTCGTGCTCTCCGTGGGCACCATCTGCTCCCACACGCCCATGGATGCGTTCACTCTGCTCGCTGGTGCTCTTTGCGCCTCTCCTGGGCCGGCCGGGAGGAGAGCTGAAGTCAAGGATGACCTCCTCCAGGGAAAGCTGCCTCCCGAGCGGGGTTCCGTGCCCCGGTGCCGAGCTCCTGCACGGCAGCAGGACTCTTGCTCAGCGCCTTCCCTTGCATCGGGCTGTACCTCCTGGCGCTGGGGTGTTGGTGCCTGGTGGCGGTGGCCGCTCTGCCGCAGGACGTGCACTCCAGCTGCGTTGTGGCAGACTGATGGTCCCCTGACGGCATTTCTCCCCTGGGCTCGCACCATCCAGCACCGCAGCCCTCGGCGTCGCTTGGCGGTTACGCCTCGCTGGTATTATCTAGCCCGTTTCTTTTATCTTCCCGTTTCTCTGAGGGTGTTGCACTGCTGATAGCTGGAAGGGGGAACGCCGAGAGCGAGGCTCAGGGCTGCTCCATGCATTCCTAGTTCGTTAGACCATGGGACCAAAGGTAAACACCGAGTCATCCGGTCCGGCTTGTGGCTCAGATCTCGGCCCGTCTCGCCTACCTTGACCGCACGAGACCCAGGGGAAAGTCAGCCCTTGCTTGATGCAAAGGAGATTCAGGGAACACGTGGAAATGCCTGATGCCGGCCCAACAGGTTGTTGCTGGGTGAAACGCATCCGGATGACGACACTTTTGCAGAGGAGGAAGAGCCTTGTTCTGGACGGGGGAATTTCCCACGTCTGGCTCAAATTCGTGAGCAAGAAACAGCAGTGAGGTACGAGTCAGGGTCCCTCCTGCCCCCAAACTCCAGTATCTGAGGAAAGGAATCTGGCCAGGGACATCTGGAAGAAGGGCTAACCTTCCCTTCAGGCAGCGGCTCTGGAGCCAGCCCTAAGGACGTGTCTGCTGCTTTCTGGGAGCTGTTTGTAGCCAACGTCCTGCGCGGCTTCCTCGCCTCCGCTTTTCTCCCCGAGCCGGGTCCTGGCCCAAGCCGGAGGCGCGCGCAACGCGGGCAAGCTGCCCCTTCCGCCCTCGCAGGGTGCAGCCGGAGCAGCAGGGTTTGGTGCGTGACTGCCGTGGGGGATACCGGGGAGAGCTGGTAAAAGGGGTGTGGGGCTTAGTGTCTGCTGGGGGGGTCTTGGATGTGCAGGTCCTGCCGGGAAAAACATTTTGGCATGGATGCGGAGGCTGCCAAACGCGCTGGTGATGTCGGCGTGTTCTTGGCGGGGGGCTTTTGGCTGGCGGCGGGGTGGGACCCCGCAGGTGTGACGGGGCGACTCCTTCCCTTTCACACAATAAACTGCTTCTCTGACAGAGACCTGTGGTTACTCCCACATCCTCACCCGCGGTTCTCGGGCAACAACGCTGAGGATATTCTGGGGTTGTGCCACCGGTTTTCGGAGATGTGAGGAGGAAAGCTGCCTGCTGCAATGTGCCGTGAAGGACTTGTGGGTTCATCCTTCTCGGATATCCTGACCCTTTAGGCTTTCCAGCAGTTCTGCCACCGCATATGAAATTCCGTGAGAGGTGGGTGGGTGTTCCTCTGCCCCCCTGCCCAGGAGCCGTGCGTACCCCGCGCAGGCCGAGCTGGGCGT